GCGGCTACAAAACATGAGGAGGAGTCAGCTCCAGGCTCCCAGGCCGGCGGGATTCAGGCGTTCGCAAATCCAGCCCCTGCACAGGGCAGTGGTCCCCCTTCCCACGGCGAAGCAAGTGATTAGGCAGACAGCCAGGCTCTTGCGCTGGAACATCTTTATTGAGCTACACGTGGATCCAGGCCCGCCACAGGTAACCTTCTACCTGCTCCCGCGCTGCGCACAAGCGTTTTACACCAGGCAAAACCAACAGACCACTGAGTAGCACTTCTGGGAGTGGGACTCTGTCACCTCTACTCTGTCCTGGAAAGGTTCTTATGCTGCTTTCTTCACTGGAACACGAAGGGCTAAAGAGGTACAGTACCTCAAAGGCTAGTTTTGGTGTAAGAAGTTTTGGGTTTGGGGATGGGGGGGGGGGGGGGAACCAAACCACTTCACCCCAAAAGATGCTGTTCCCCTGCCTTTTGCAAAACTCCCAAAGAGCAGGAAATTCTATTTGGGTACCAGCTACCAGCATTCCGTGCTCTGGAAATCCCCTATAGCAACAAAGACAAGAAGAAAGCCCACATGAAAAAGACTGCTTTGTCTATTCCAGATCTGTTTTGGTTCTTTAACCGTTTCCCAAATCTTGTTATCCTATCCCACCCAAGCTTGTAGCAAGGCCACACAATGCACGCTGTACATATTATGCACAAATACAATAGGGATTCTTCAATACAGGGGACGCACACTGCAGCAGTGTTAAATTTTTCCACCCATGACTTCATGATACTTGTCTGTTACTAATGTCATCTGAACATGCCCCATGGACAACATGGAAAATAATACTTTCACAAAAGAAAAAGCTTTGCTACATAGGAGGAAATGGTGAAGTCCGAGTTAAGGCAAAAATAAACATTGTTTATATAGTGTGACCATATATAATATGCACATACTACTCAGATTTCATATTGGAAGACTGTTGTTCCTTGGGTTTAAAAGGACAGGGACAGCCAGAGGATATAGCTTTTGGCCCTAGAGGACAGGACATCAAGGTCTGTGAATATCATGAATCCATTTTGAGATTCATTATTATCTCTCTACAACTAAAATTCCAGATCTTCTGTGTATTAAACCACTTCACTTAGGGAAATCTGGCTTTATGCAGCCTCAGCCCCCAATGTCCGTAGGGACTTACTCTAACAGTAGTCTTTGCACTTAGGGCTTAACATTATGTGAATTGTCCCCCCGAGTTGGACTCCTTTCAGGCCCTCAAGCCAGAAGAAAGACCAACCAGGTTTAACGCCGAGAACCTTTGCAGGAGGCACAGTCCCTCAGTTAAAACAGGAATTGGATGGGTAGTCCAGGCAAAACGTCTCCTGCACTTCAAAGCTTTGATTCTGCAAAAGTCCAAGTGATCACTGAACTTCAAGCCTGTTTGCTATTGGGTTGGGAGAACCATCCTTTGACCTGTGGATTGGGGACTGGAGATATCCATGGTCAGGGGAATGGTTTGAACTCCATGTTGGCTGGATTTGAAGACCCATGTAGTCCTTCAAGCTTGCGGTCAAAAGAACTACCCATACATACAACGTTCAGCACACCGCTGGAGCACCACGATCATCACATCTCAAATTATAAACAAAGAACGGTAAACTAACACAGGTCTAAGTTCCCAGCCCCAGCATGGCTTGAGCTTACCAGTGGGACCTACAAAGGGATCACTATCAGTATGGGAAGAGGGTGCTCTCCTCAATTTCACCCACATGGGAGTTACGGTTCTGGGACGGAGCACAGTTGCTAGACTGGTCAGGGTGCCACTGGCTGACTACCCATAAGCATGTTGTAGGACTGCGTCAGTCAAGGGCACAATAGTCAGCAGATCAAATACTGAAGGCAGCTACAATGAGAATTGTAACAGGTCATCTGCAGAGGCTTAGCTTTAACTAGATACTTGAGTTGCATCAGGCACTGTGTTAATCACGCCCGTAACAACTAAATTCTCTGAATTTCTTTGGGGCACCCTCCATCATCCACACCGTGGCATTTCACCATAGCTCATTCCCGGCAGAGTCAGCTCTCCCCAGAGGAGAATGTGCCTTCCACATCCACCCTACTACCTTCTCCCAAAAGGCACTAATGTGTGACCTGTTTGCAAAACTGTCTGAACAAGTAAAAATCAAGGGGGGGAAAGTCGACCCAAAGAAGCTGTTGCCATGGCATTTTCTCAAGATGACCTCCCTCATTTTCTGCCTCTACAATGGAGCCAGACAGTATGTTCAGCTCGTGCTTCTGCAAAACATTATGGTTCCACCAGCAAGGTGACAAGAGGCTTTACAACCTGTTTGCATCTTTCAGGCATGTTAACACTTCTATAAAGCAAACGCACGACTCCCAGGCAACATGCTCATGGGCTGCCCTGGCCTCCAGCATGGTGCAAACCTAAACCATCTGCAAGCCTGAAAAGGAAACAGTGCAAAACCGCTGCCTTCTCACCGTGAAAGCACACCTACAGCTACACATCTTTGCCATTATATCTCACCTGATGAAGGTTTTCAAGCATCCTTTGCTTTGGTACCTGAGCATTGGGTGTAATCACCACACTTTAGCCTGTTCTCAGCAGTTTAAATTTTGCCACCTTATCCTAAAATCAGTGAGCAGCGCAATGTAAGGGGCCAGCTGGACCTTCCAGGCCTGGCCATGGAACTTAAATAACAGGAAACAATCAGAGACTGTGTTTTTCCTGCCCTTCACTGAAAGCATCTTGGAAAGGCACATGTTCTTCAGCAGACAATACAACATGTAAAAAAGTCCATCATTGCTTATCGAACTCCACCCTAAACACATCCTATAGTGGGAGGAGCAGAAACTGAACTGTGATTTTGCATTCCTTCATACCTCTGGAAAAAGAACATTTTGTAAGTAGTGTCAAGACCTATTTGGTAAGTCCATGGGGCAAGCCCAGGCAGCAGCCTTGAGGATCTACTCCTATAGAGGCTGTTGGCCAAAGGCATCCAAAATCAAAATGCAAGGCAGCTTAAACAACCCCACTTCCCTGTTACCGCAGGGGGTCAACGAGAAGAGTAACCAGAGCTAGATTCCATTCCCAGGAGGGTCTGTCGTACCGTCCTTGTCATCCCATGCTTAACTCACCTCTCAACAACTGATTGGTTGGAACTAATGGCACTAATAGCATACAGTAAATAAATCCCTAACATCTTTAGGATCACATCTGGAAAAATATCCTTGCCAACTGCATGGGCATGGGAAGAACATCTGGCAAAGAAAAATTGTCCAAATAACCACGCATAACACAGGGACTAGAAAGGACTTGGATCAGTAAAGTAAAAGCAAGTACCTATTATCACCTGGGTTTTCACCCCATATCCTGAAGAACCATCATCTCTGCCCTTCTAAAGTTGCTATTTTGACAGTGTTTCCTATACAATGACCCCATCGCTACCTTTAAGGAACTGGCTGACCCTGAGATCCCGATGAAAGGCTGTCGACTCACTGCAGAACGACACTCTCCTGTGAGCTTGTGACATAAAGGTAAACAGCAATGTAGAGGCACTGGAAATCGAAGGAGCCCAGGCTACTGGATGCAACACTGCATTCAGAAGCACATAAACTCCTAACTCTTCAAGAAAACACAAAAAGTCCTTTCTTCTCCCTTTTCCACAATGCTCGCAGAAGCAGTATGCGAACAAAAAGACCTGTTAAGTGGATCTGGGAGAGTTCTCTCTGGTCATACTGCCGCTGTGGGATATGGAGTACAAGGTAGGGAGGAGCTTCTATTTAGACGTGCTGTGCATTGTCAGCTACTTTACCGGGCCTTCAGTAACATCATAATCTCTGCAATATTGCAAGCAGGCAGTCTAGAGATCATTTTGTTGTCTTTTTCTTCATAATCACACAGCTAGGCTCACAGACATTGCATCAACTATCATCCAGCACAGCAACACAGCAGTTTAATTTAGCAACCCCTGCACTGCCACTCCCAGTCACTCCCAAATATTCAAACCCATTTTACAGTGAACAGAAGATCAACTTAGCCATTGCTTTTCTCAAAAGTACCCCAGAAATCTTTCAGGTTCACGTGCTGGCTTCATCCAAGTATCACAGTCCTTGTCCCACCAACACATGCAGTGGCGAATGAGCCACAGGGATCGCATTCCCACAACAGGCCGCGTAGCTATCCGTTTCCAGAGATGAGACTACCTTTTCCTCTTCTCTCCACTTTTTCTCACTCGTGCCATGGCAGTGGTCACGAGACTTGAGCCAGTCCCAGGCAGTCGGGAGGAGGACCGGCCAGCCCCGGGCTTGTCCATCACAGTGCTGGAGGGAGAGCCAAGCTGCCACGGCAGATCTGGTGCTCTGTAGAAACGACTCAGACCAGATAGGATTACACGTTCTGCTACTCTCCCACCCGTGCGATGCGGCCTCTACACGAAGAAAGCCAAGTCAGCAGCTACCTTGCAGCACGTAGAGACATGGATACAATTTTCCAAGTAATGCACAGCACTGGACAGGAAACCTGACACATTTCACACCAGAAGAGGACGGAAGAAAATACACCCACATTTACAGCAGCAACCACAAACTTCATATGGAAGAGAAAGGCCAGGTACTGACAGCAGACAGAGAACAGTGCTGTTGTAAAACCCTTACCAAGGTGAGACTCCCCGGATGCTACAGGAAGAGGAAAGGCTTAAATACAGACACTTTCCTCACGCAGAAGTGCTGCTGAGACCCAAGGTGTGTGTAACACAGAGCAGTAACAGAGGTAGAGTCATACAGACAGACATATGCTAACAGCTATAGGATATATCGTATTTGCTCATGTAAAAGCCACACACGCTTACGGGCCTCATAGCCCAACCAGTTGCAAACAAGAGATCACCAGTTAGATAACCAGTAGCTTAAGAATAGACACACAAAATCACTGCACCCTAAATTTGGAGGGGAAAATCACAGGGGCAGGGAATTATGTGCACTCCAGGAGCAATACAGTATTTCACCATGGGAGAAGGTTTAGGACTGGCACCCGGCTTGATCAGCACACTCATTTACCAAATCAAACTGTCCCGGAAAGCAGCCAGTTGCCCTTTAACTGAGTTCATGAAGTAAAAATTGTTTAATGGGGTCTGGGATTGGAAGGATATGGATCAGATCCAGACGAGATTTGCCAAGTATTCTTCGCACAGCTATGCGGCAGAGAGACAAGAGGCTCCGGGTGCGGCCTGCAATAAAGAAAGCAGAGAAAAACTGCTGAGGGACAGAGAGAGGACGAGAGACGGATAAAAATGTGTAAACTGTGCCGAGCCCTGTCTGACAGCTGAGGAGCCATTTACCCCTTCCATACACCGAGGCCACATCCCGCACAGCAACACGAAGGCAGCGCAGGAGAGCCGAGAGTGCACAAATCCTCCCTGTGAGGAGGCCAAACCTTCTGGCCAAAGATTTGGAGCCACGACAGCTGCTACATGGGCAGTTTGGAAGGGCAAGCTGGAGACTGCACGGGATTGCGACCACAGAGCCAGTCCCTGCACGGGAGGGTTCAGGAGATCACCGCCAAATCCACACCAGGGAAGGCTGTGAGAGGCTTTATACTATTTGGACCATTTTAAAATTACGTGAACTTTATTTTTGCTCTAAATAGCCCCCTGGGAATCAACAGCATTGTCAGCCAGATCAGGTCTTATCCCATTTTCTTTTGAGGGCTTCTTTTGCGTTCATGAAGAGCTCTTCAGGAAAATGGACAAGAGGACAGTGGTGTCCATGTTGATTCAGCAACTGGACCTCCAAGGCACCATTCCATTACCTTGCATGCGCTACCTGAGGAGTCCCATTTGCCTCCTAAACCCAGGCTTAATGGAAACCACTTGCTCCAGCTTACATACAGCTCTTCTCAGCAAAAGTCGAGGCAGGTTTAAAAACCAGGCACGTGCAAAGCCAAATAACTTTGGGGTGAGGGCTGGGGGTTGTATCCCACAACCTGAATCCCTTTGAAATTTCTCTGGAGTCCAAGAGGGAAACTCCGCTGCTGAGCTTGGTGGTTTTACAAGGTGCTGCCCTTGCTGGAACAAGGGTGCGCACTGTATTGACGTTCCTTTAGTTGTAAGAAGAAAGAAATAACAGCTAAATTTAGCCATGTTCAGGTCTGAGGCTCTGGTTTACTTCTTTCATAACTCATTCACTTCCCAGAGGATGTTAAATTAAAAAAGCCAGCTTTCCCCCACCTTTTTCCATCATCATCTGAGCTCCCTCCTGCCACTTGCTACCACCATTTGCAGCTTTACTTCCCAAGTAGCCTGTCCAGATACAGCTACCTCTGGGGTCCCTCCCTGGGTCCCCCTGAAGAGCACAAGGTTGCTCAAGAACAGTGAGGGTACATCTGCATGGCTTTGGAGAATGGGGTCTCACTGGATATCCCATAACCTGCCTGTGGGTCTGCAGATCCAAAATCCAGCTCTGACAGGACCCCACTGCCTAAACGTTGCTTCAGGCTGCTGAGGACACGCTTAGGCAATGGAAAAGAGCTGGGAAAAAGATTAAAAGCGTGACATTACAGAGAGAGGTTGCACTGCTGAGATAGGCATCATTGGTAGCTGAAGGACTCGAGAGGGAAACCACCACGTGAACGTACAAAATGCAACAGGAGAAAAACAGGGAGTCTAGCTGGAGGCTTACAGGGAAGCCATTGGATTGAGACATCAGTGTTGACAGACCTGGAGGCAGGCAGCAGCACAGCAACACTGAGGATCCGTGCCAGGGATCTAGAGAGGCCAGTCCCATGGTCCTCTCCTGCCTGATACCTGCCTGGCCAGCAACAGCTCTTCGGGAGCCTATTAGGGGTGCTGAAGTCATTAACGCTTACCTTAACAGCTCGTTAAATCCCAGTTATCTTTCGTGTGTGTCAGAATTGCTTTACACTTTTCATTTGGGTATAAGCTGTTTACACGATCCTTTTGCACTTGGCTGAAGGCATTTCAACAACCAGACCCAAAAGAGGATGGTCACACCAGAGCTAGATAAAACCAGCACCACTTCAGTAAGCCAAAGCCACTTACCCCTTGCTTCTTTGAACACCTGCAGAGCCTCAGGGTTGACTTTGACCCTTCCCGTGGATTCAACTCCCAAGGCCTCCACCTTCACCAGGTTCAGATTGGCTCCAAAGTCAATCAAGAGATGGACGAACGCCGCTTCACAGCCGTGCCGCAGGACAGCATCCATCACACACACCGGGGAGCCCCGGGAGAAGCCTTGGATGTTGATGGGCCCGCAGCAGTTAAAATCCGGGTTGGCTCCAGCCTGGAGCAGCAGCCGGAAGCACTGGAGGTTGTGGTAGGCAGCGCTGATGTACAGCGGGCAGACCACCAGCGTGGTGAGAGGCCGCAGAGAGAGGCTGGGGACCCGGGAAGCGAGGTGGTGATTCACGTCCACATCTGCACCGTACCTGGGTGCGGGAAAGAGAAGAGCGGAGGTTCAGAAACAAGGGCAACAGCAGCACAACTGCAGCCCATGGTGACAAAATGGCAGGGGATGAGTCTGAAGGACACCCGGAGGGTGAGCACCCTGCCTGTCTTTGGTACCTCTGTGGCCCACCACCCAAGAACCGCCCATACCTACCCTCAGATGGGCCTGGAGGGGCTTCTGAGTAGGCATGCTTTATCCAGCACAGTCTCATCTTCAAGAAGGGAAGCTGTTTCTCTGCCCACAGCAGCCCGGGCTTTGAAGAGAGGAGGAGCAGCTGAGGAACATCTCTCCTTGCCCTCCTGAAGGATGCGCCAAGCATGGCCTTGGCACAAGGGACAGCTCAGCTCTGAGCCAGCACCACGTAATGCTGGATGCTAATGAGCCGGCTTGGGGGGCAGGGATGTTTCCAAATGACTCAGTTGAAGAGATGCAGTGAAATAACTTCCCCACCAGGATAAAACAGGCCAAAACGCAATCCCGGCAATCGATCTGACTGTCACAAACAGCAGGAAAATGGAAACAGAAATCTGTGCTCAACAGTGAAACATATATGAGAAAATCCTGCTCCCGAAGGAGCTGGGGTGATTGAAATCTCATCAGAAATCCCACCAGGGAGTCAAAAAGAGGCCTTTTCCCTAGTATTCAGCTCAGCTGAAAGGATGTACCCGCCAACTCCGAGCATGTAGGAAACTGGAAAAACACAAAATAATTGCATCAGACCTTCCGCTCTCCCCATCCACCCCGCACAGCTCCATTCACAGGTTATATTTTATGCTAGATACCGCCGGAGAGATTAAAGTTCACTGGCCAGCACTCCGGGCGCTGAAGGAGAGACTTCCATGAGCTGCAAACCTCTCAAGCCTTTTGCAACTGGCTCCTGCCTCTCTCTACCCCACAGAGAAACCCATACCTCGCCGCACGGTGCCACGGTGTGCCAAATGCTCCATCGGCCCTGCGGCCAAAGCACAGCGGGCTCGGGCTTGCCGTGGCGTAGAGAAGGCATGCCAGCAGGCTAGAGCCCGGCTCAATGGACATCAGCGTCGTCATCAAACAGAAGCAGTGCCTGCAGCGTCTTTCTTTTGGGGAAGTAGAGATGGCACTAAATTGTGCACGAGCAGAAAACAAGGCTTATTGGCTGCATTTCTTTTCATTTTTCGGAGGAAGTGAAGAATGTGATCAAATAAACAGGAGCAAAAAGGCCAAGGGTCACTCTCTGGAAAAGCATGGAATTTGAAAAACAGCAATGCTGAGGAAGGAAGAGACAGTGGAAATAAGCACTGATTTCCCCCAGGCTGGGTAACACCCAAGCAGTGGGGACACTAACTCCATCTAATTCACACACAGCTTGGACAGGAACAAGGAGGAAGACAACGCAATCCCCTAAGGAGTAGCTGGTTTTAACAGCAGCATTGCGGATCAAGCAAAGCCTCGTCCCTGATCCCCACACAGGGATAAAAGGCTCCTTCACCCACCAGTCCCCCTCCCAAAATTGCAGACTGAGCATTCAGAGAACTAGATTTTTCTGTCTTCCTAGATAGCAATATATTCCTTTCTGCAGTTAACAAAACAAATAAGGACAAATTCTGCCTCAAGGCAAACACAGCTCTCGCTGAACCCAGTAGGGGCTGGTACCTATCCAGCGTAGACTTAACCAAATGCTTCAACTCTGAGGATGGGAAGTCTCATTTAAATTAAGCACACACAGAACTAGGGCTGAGGAAACTTGTCTAAGAGCTGCAAATGGCATGCAGCATATTTTTATCCCAATGCATAAGATCTCCCAAGCATGAACATCCTGGCTGAGAAGATCTCAGGAGACCAGTGGGGTGGAGAAATGCAGAAAAAGGATGGATCTAGACAGTAACAACACTGCTGAGTGCAAGCTGGTCCTCACACCAGCCACAGGACCGAGCTTCCCTTCCCAGGCCAGGCAGCTGGCCCAGGGATCACTGCACACTAAGGGGACAGTCCCATCTTTCGTGGACTTTCGCAACACTTTGCTCAGTCTGCATCACTCAGATGCATCATCTCACTAAGTGAGAGCCTGGAGGGCTAAATAAGAAAATGTGTCCGTTCTCCACAGGCAACGGCACATGTTCCCTGTAGATAAACAAACCTCTTAAAATCAGACTACACGAGCATTCGGATGGAGTCATCTGTGCTGCTGTGGGACTTTCATAGGGCTGTTGTATGGCCACTACATCCTACGGCCATGGTCCTGACCAGACAGCAGGTACCCCTTCATTTCAGTCCTTTTTTTTTCATTATTGTTATCAAAATTCTGGGTGGAAACCCCTAATTCAAAGCAAAATACAAAATTCTGCTTTTATCCCAGTTAGGCATGTGCCTGAGGCATCAGGATGATTTGTCAGATTTCTTTCTCACCATTTTTAGTGTGGCAAAAGCATCTTCTTGTCCTTAATACGCTGGGTCAGCCCTCTATTACACTGCAAGGATAATGCAACAGTCTGATCCCATCGCGGCATGATCACATCACAAGCTGTTAGGAAAGTAATCTATACCCTGGCAATATAACCATAAATATTTCCGCCAGACGTCTTATAAAATGGATCGCCATTCCATAACTATGTGTGTATTTACTATTAATGGATACAATTTCACCTATTGCTTGGTTAGCTGGTTCAGCAATTGCGGTAGGATTCAGGAATCCTGTTTGTGCTATCATATGATTAAAAAAAAAAAAAAAGAATCAGGTGATGTTTAGACACCTGCAGCAAGCCTGAACTGGGCTGGGCTTTCTTTTCAGGACACTGAGGCTCTCTCAAGTCAAATATGCTGAAATATACCCTTGTATCTCAGTAAACGTGTCTTCCTCACCGCACTCCCCATGCCAAATCCCTTAAATCAACATTTTAAAAATCTCTGAGTGAGCTTTGCAACATAAGATTGCATTTTAAAGTAAGCAAGTCTGAACAGATCTGCGAAATCTGTACTCCAAGATATTTGAAATTTTGGGCAATCTGACAATTTGGTATTAGCTTAGCAGCCTTGGGAGAGACATCGTCTAATAAAAAGACATTGGACAAACTCCAGTTAATTTTTAATCCTGAAAGTTTTCCAACATCTTGCTTTTAATATTGCTGGAAAGGTATCCCAAGGAGCAGACACATAAATCAGTGCATCAGCCCTCCATGTGCTGCTGAAATACCACTTGCTACATACATTTCACCCTGCCTCGGCGGCTGTATCGGGGGAGATTCTCGGGAATGCAGCACGTGAGCTGAACCCTGTACCAACCACCACGCGGCGACGGGGCCATCCTTCTCGCACCTTGCTGAGAGAGGAGCAAGCAGGGGGGACTGTCTCCCTTTCTTTCTACTTGCCAGCTTCCTTAAAGCTGCACTTGTAAGAAAACTAACTTCCCCGCAAGCAAAAAGGAAAGGAGAAAATCCCCAAGTATTTTGAAATTTTTTCTATCCAGATCCTTTTTGCTGTTATTTTCTAGCATTTGCGGTCATTGAAGTGATTCGCTGGAGAGTGTTTCTGTGTGAATCCAAATAAGCTTTCTTCTCTTTCACTATTTCTTTCTACAACCTACATCTTCCGCTTATGATCCCTTATTATTTGGTGTCAACAGCCCACGCAGTTGGTCAGCACAGTCCCTTATACAAAAAGCTTCCAATTTAGAAACTATCATGGCATGCCACGGACGCAGAAACTCAAGTTTGCACAGCCTGCTGCCAGACCTTAAGCCCACTCGCTGCTGTGCTTCAGAGGAAGTTTACTGAGGGACAGGAGGTCACCAGTTACCCACCAGCCAGCTAAGGTTACCCATTCATCACCTCATAGTGACAGCCATCACTCCCTGCCCCAGAGATGCCACCCCTTTGATGGAGCTGTGCATCAGGTATCCGGCAAGGGGAGACTGAGTCAGATGACGCAGAGAGCGTCCTAGAGATGGGCAAACGCTGGGCAGTCAAGAACAGACCGTGCCAGTAATAAGCATCTCTCCTCCCAGTGACAGTAAACGGTCAGAGCAGCAGAGCTACACAAAGAAGAGAAGTGTTTCTGAACAGCTTTTGGTTCGCTGGGGGATCCACCTGCCTCATAAATTCAGCCAGGGACACGGAGCTGGCAGTGGAAATGGAGTTTGAGGGGAAGATACTTTTGGCTCTGACTGAATAGTGGGCTCAGAAACGGAAATGCCTCTTGGGCTTTGTCTTAGGAGAACAGTCATGGGAGTCACACAGCAGGGCACAGACCTGTTGCCAGGGCCAAGCGATGGGGAACACAAGAATGTCCCTTTGGGCACCTCTCCACCCGCTTTCCTGTCCACCTCTTGGCCAGCTTCACCAGGCCTGTGGAGGCACGTGAGGAGCGAATGGATGCTCCAAGCCCCATGGGGGAAAGATCCCAAAGGAAGGAGCAGGAGGCAGAGCCACCCCTCTTCCCACCAGGACCATCTCCAGCCTGCACCCAAGCTCTCACCTGATCAGCTCCCGGAGGATGTCTGCCCGGCGCACGCGTGCCGCATGGTAGACAGGGGTGCTGCGGTGGTGCCGGCTGCCGTTGGGGTCAGCCCCGGCTTCCAGGAGGATCTTGGCACACTCGAGGGGTCCATTGACCACCG